CTGAAACCTCTGATAGTGGTTATTAATCCTGTATGCCAAGCTTGTGTGTAAAATTACCATTTTGTAACTTCTATGTGATATTATTATTTTATGTCATCTTTGTATATTTATTATTAGAATATTTTATATTCTGCTGACTTATCTCAGAAAACGTGCCGTATTTACGTACACGGTACTTAGCAGCATGTCACGCTCTCCTCACGTTGCTCGCCTATGTGCCGACCGTGGATGGTGCTCTCGTTGGAGTAAGGTAAATGTACCAATGCCTGGACACGTATCTATGCTGGACATTTTTATCATTTAGTCCTTAAATAAGTTATAATGCAAATTAAAGTCAAAGATTCAAAGATAAAAATATTTTTCTTGTATTATATTTTTATCTTTGATTTTGATTCGCGTTATATTTATTTAAAAACTAAAATGATAAAGGTGTTCGACATAGGTATTAAGTGTCCCGGCATTGGTACATTTACCTTATAGTTAAGTATTATATTATACAACATACACACACACACACAGAGAAAATCCTATAATTAATGATACAAACAAAATGATCCTATATACAAGACTATATTGAACAAAGCTTTTTTGTATTGTGTTGTATTATTTATTTTTTAAAAAGTTAATTTTAGAGAAATTTATTGAGCGTATTCAACTCGAGCACTCAAGTTCGCATATTAATAATTACAAAATATGTATAATTTTACACGATACAAATTGTAAAATATATTATTTGATTTGCAGTTAAATATGACGTAGCATATGACGGACAAATAAAAATATATTCGCAAGCAATTTATCCTTCACATTACACGAATAAAACTTGTCCCCATTACATTACATTCTTCAATTTTGTACAAAAGATACTTCATACACTTGAAAAGAATGAATAATATAAATATTTTATCATTTCATTTAGTATATCTTCACATAGTATACCTCATTATCATAAATAATAATTGTACAGTCACGCTACTAATTAACTTGAATTTATATTAAATAATTATTAATCGGCTTTTCATTATTTATATATCTCTAACGCTAACTCTCAGCCCCCGAATAGTTTGAGCTATCTTCGATACTTATCGTATATGGAATATATTCCTGTCCAGATTCCTGAAAGAGATAAATTTAGATTATGCGATAAAGATAAGAATCAATCAATCTGCTATTGAAAGTTTGTAAAATCGTCAGAAATGCAAGAAATTCATACCGAATTTACAATAATTTGTCTGCCTCCCTCCAGATTCAGTTCGTCCATGTCCTCCGTTGTTAATATTATCACGGAATCCTCAGGTATACTATCCTCATCTATGTAAGTTATAGGTATTTCCGATGCAACCTGCGCAACCCGCGAGTCCGTCAGCAACGAAAAATTATGCCGAAGAGATTCGTAAATTGCAATCAATGTATTACCTCGCAATAACTGAAATTAGATGTTTCTTGCGTCTTCGCCTGAGCGTCGTGCGGCAC